AACATTGTAAAAAAAGCTTCTCAAAAGTATTTAATTAATATTTATATATTTATATTTATATTTATATTTATAAATTACTTAAATATTTATCAACATTTTAGGTCGAAGAGAAACATGAAACATTGCAAGCATATTTCCGGAAACTACGGTTAATCAAATCGGTTTCAACTGGTGGAACACCTGCTGTTACTTCTTCTTCAGTTGTTACATCATCAACTTTGATGGAAACTGGTGCTTTACAAATACCTCAAAAGACAACTAGAAAACAATCAATATCAAGCAGAGTGTTGTCAACATCTGCATCAAGTAAAGCATCATTAAACCTTTTATCAAAGCCTGCAAGTTCTCATCGCCAACGTAACAATAATGGTCAAAAGGATTTGGTATTATCTCATAAACGGCAGGAAAGTGCTGGATCAATTTCATATGGTATGTCAATCTTTGATTTTGATGTCAATCGACTAAAGAAATTATGTTGGATATTTATAATTGAACTGTTTTAATATATATATATTTTTTTTTAGATTCTGATAGTCCTTTACCTTCACGTAGTGGGAAAAAATTGATTTCATTATTTACTGCTATTTTACGTGGAGTAAACGGTCGTGGTAGCAACCCACCGAGTAAAGAGTCTAACAATTCTAATTCTAATTCTACATCAGTCAATGGTGACAAATTGGTAAATATTATATAAATTATAAATATTATAAATATTATAATTAAATACTTTTGAGAAGCTTTTTTTACAATGTTTCGTAATATATCATTATTCTAGGGAGCTAAGACCAGAGTTCCAAGTATTCAAGATTTTGAAATAATAAAACCTATTAGTCGAGGGGCTTTTGGTAAAGTTTATCTTGCAAGAAAAAAGACAACTGGCGACCTTTATGCGATAAAAATTTTAAAAAAAGTAGATATGGTTCGCAAGAATATGGTAAATCATGTACTTGCGGAGAGAAGAGTTCTTAGTTTGACAAGAACTCCTTTTGTGGTTAAATTGTTTTACGCATTTCAAAGTCAGGATTATTTATACCTGGTAAGTTATTATTTGCATCTTTTATTTATTTATTTATTTATTTTAATTTTTTAATTTTTATTTTATTTTGTTTATTTACTTACCATCATACAATCTTACAATCTTACCATCTTACCGTGTATACATATAGGTAATGGAATATCTAATTGGTGGTGATTTATCATCTCTTCTTCAATGTTTTGAACGTTTTGAAGAAGATATGGCGCGTATGTATACAGCAGAAGTGGTATTGGCGCTCGAATACCTTCACAAAAATGGCATAACTCATCGAGACTTGAAACCTGACAATATGCTTATCACCTCCGAAGGTCATATAAAACTTACTGATTTTGGTTTGTCCAGGATATCAATTCCTGAAAAAAGTAGTATTACTTTCGTTAAAGAAGGTGAATCAAATAATAGACCTGATAAAAAGTCAAAAAGTATGAGAGCTGGTAGTGTGGATTTTCGTACCAACTCTAATGGTCATCGTCCGGTTTCTTCCATCTTTCCCAATGAAAGTCCAAGAACTTCCGTTCATATTAATTTTCATAGTGTAGAACCACAACCATCATCTAATACTTCTACTCAATCATCATCATCAAAATTAACAAGAAAGCAGACTAAACAAAGTTCCAAAGCTCTTTTAGGTACTCCTGATTATCTTGCACCAGAATTACTTCTTGGTATTGGGCACACAACAGCAGTAGATTGGTGGTCTCTTGGTATATGCCTTTTTGAATTCTTGGTTGGTTATCCTCCCTTTAATGATGATACACCACAAGCAATCTTTAGAAACATTTTAGATAATGATATTCAATGGCCACCTGAAGAATTTTTGTCCATAGAAGCCAAAGATTTCATTTCAAAATTATTAAATAAAACACCTGAAAAACGACCTAGCGTAGATGAAATCAAAGCTCATCCTTTTTTTAACGGAATTGATTGGGAACATATTCGTCAACAACAAGCACCTTTCGTTCCTAATCCTGAAGATGAACAAGATACAAGTTATTTTGCGGCACGTAATAATCGTGCAGATATTCGCCGTCTTTCAGCAGGAAATCTTGATGAAATTGCATCCGGAAGAATATCATCTGAAAATCGTAAATCTGTTGCTTTTGATGATGATATTGAAATTAATTCACAGGCACCTAATAACCAAGCACCTAATAATAATGCTCCATCACCTCTCGTATTACAAACAATTACGGCAGAACCTATAGAATGTAGTTCCTTGAATTCACCAGTTTCGACACCTACATCACGTAATAAACCTGATTTAACAATCAATACTCATACACGCGATAAACGACAATCACTTTTAAAGAAAAAATCGACATCATCTCTTAAACCATCACCAGTTGAAGAGACACCTGGTAGAACGATTCAAAAACGTAAACCATCTTTATTAAAATTACCCACAGGAAAATCGAGAAAATCTTCTATAAGTGGTGCTAGTGACTGTGGCACACCATTATCAGCGTCCAGTACATCTAGTACATCAACGAACCAATTACCTTCATCTACACCGGCATCATCATTATTAAATCCATCAAGACTTTCATCACTTGTTGGATCGCAAGAACTATATGGATTAGACCAACAAACTAATATTCATGATGATGAAATATTAAATGTTGAAAATCAACAAACTAGTGATGATTCGGGATTTGATGGTTTTCTTTATAAGGGTGTTTCATTTTTAGGTGACTTGACCAGAGATGTATTATCATCTGGAAATGGTGGTGGAAATGGAAATTGTTTAGCGAGAAAACCATCTATTGTTGATCTTAAAAATTAAAAAAAAAAAAGTTATGTTAAAAAAAATAGGGATTGGAGAAAGTGGAAATTGATTTGTAAAATTGAGGCAGGCCTATATAAAATTGTAACATAAAAATTGAAATTTATCCTTTTTCTTGTTAAATATTATTTTTTTCTCTTTTTTTTTTTTTTTTTTTGATGGTAAATAAAACTCAAATTTTAAAACCTTCTTTTTTTTTGATTTACCATTTTTATTTTTTAGATATATTAATAATTCTTTTGTAGTATAGTTTTTTGGTTACAAATTTGTATGATGGATATTATTTTGATTTATGTTGCTTTTTTTTCCATTTCGATTTTAACAAAATAAATAAAATGAAAAAAAATAACGAATCGCAACAAAAATTTATTTGATAATAAGTGATACAAATGCGAATTATAAAATTATAAAATCATAATAAAATTATAAATTCACAAAATCATTACTCTTTTTTAAATTTTAAAAGGTGCGCATGAAACTTTTCATCACATTCCAACATTTCAATTCTTATACCGTACGTAGCCAAGACTACCAACCAAAATTACCCAAAACTTCAAAATAATTTTCTTTTAATAAAACCAATTTTAGTACCTGAAGCAATTAAATCCTTTAATAGCGATAGTACATTATTATCAACATCCCATTCAGCATATTACCTCTATATTTTACTGAATTCAATACATCTAAAACCAGTGTTTCTACGTAGTTGGTAAATAGTCGCAACTAATCGATTTTTCATATCATGTGACTAAATTTGTCGATTCGCCAATCAAACTAAAAAAGCCAACACGGATTAGCCTGACTAGATGGAATATCACGAAATTGAACTAGTCGATTAAAATTTTCTAACGATAAATCGATTAGTTGGAAAGTTGTCAACTAGTTGATTTTCAACTAACTGATTCGGATCACTAGCTAAAACTTACGTCTTCTTTGCATTCTCTAAAACTTTTTTAGTCAATTAAATTTAAAAGTTTTAAAGCCATACCAATTTTCGGTATAACTGTCGTGCACCCGAACTTCAGTTGCGCCTGACTGAAATTAGCCCCTGAAATTAGATCATGGTGCAACTTCAGGGGGTGCTCTAATTTTCCCACCACTTCACTATCGGAGAACTATAAAATTGATAACACAGATACTCCGATATGTGAATAATTAGTAGAACCAATCAGAAGTGGTGGGGGAAATTAGTAAATTCAGACCTTTCAACGACAAAAATCATCATTTCAAATTCCGCATTAATACATTTTTAAATAACAATTCGTAGATATATATATATCGATATTATCACTTTATTACTGGTAAAATAACAAAATATACATATAAATTACAAGTTTGAAAAAAAAACTTTAAACCGATATTTTTATTTAAAAGTTAAAATATAAATTAAACCAAATTATAAAAAATATTGTAATATTTTCACATATATTAAAAAGTCTTGTAACTCTTGTTCAATTTATATCATCGTTATTTAATTATTAAATAAATCGATTCTAAAATAAAACAAAATAAACAAAAAAAGTGAGAGTTAGTATTTGAAATGACCAATGCCCTTATTCAGGACCTCCCGGGTATGACATGTCGACCTGGCTAAGTAACGGAAGGGCATCTCGACACCCTAAAAGAATGAAAGAATGCCTGACACCCTAACTAGAGTATTCCCAGTGGACAAACTTTTATAACGGTGGTCCGTGTGTTTCGTCTGACTGGGGTATACTACCGCCATGAGTAACCTAGAACCTAGGAGCGATACCCAGTGTTATGTTATAAAATAACGGAGATCAAATACTTCATACTCACCATAAACTTAACAACGTAAAGGTAATTTGTATCTAGGCGTGCGATGTTTATTTGAAAAACAAAGAAAAAAAAATTAAAAGTAAAAGTGAGCAGCAAGAAGAAGCAGCACAAGACAGAAAAGAGAGAAGAAATATCGAGTTGACGAACTAAAACGAAAAAAAAAAGAAGAAAATCGTAAAGAAAAAAAAAAAAAAAACAAAAAAAGCAAAAGAAAAAATAAAGTTGCTTGTTG